CACTACACGTCCAAGTGTGCGCTCACGGTTCTAGTGGTTACATTCAGGTTCCAGAAGTATTCAGCCATGATAAAGCAGAGATTTAAAAGAACAAACAAACCTGGTCATTGTGTGCACGTAATTTGAGGAGCCCTGAGCTAGCAAAGGCTAGCTGGTTAGAGCCTTGATCTTGTGGAACCAATACAGCGTCCTGCCATCAGGAATACAGAGAGGATAACCTAGGTCCTGGGGCAGTGTCTGTCTTCCCGTGGTCTTCAGGGTGGGCTTCCTGGCCTGCCCCATCCCTTGGGTCCAGTTCTCCATCACCTGGCCTCATCTCCCAGAAGTGCTGGTGTCCATCTTGGGGACTGGAATGGGCTCTAGCAGGTTGGGAAGGACAGCTGAGCCCCAGTGAGGATCACCCTAAGGGTACGTTCAGTTTGGTTGACTTCCTTTCCGTGGCCCATTCCCTTCTCGGAGGGTGGGCGTGAATGCGCCTGGGAGAAAGGAGCCCTTGGACTCACAGTGGAAGGAAGCACTAGGTGTGGTCTTCACCCTGGTCCACAGGACAGGGCTCCCTGCTGGTGGAACGGAGCAGGCGCTGCACACAGCGTGTTTTGGAGGCGCCCTCCAGCAAGCCCAGGGCTCTCTGCATGCTTCAGTAATTGCTCCCCAGGCAGGACTGCTCACAAGTGAAGTGGCACAAAGTACTGATTAGCTAAGTGCTTAATAAGGTCTCATTAGGGACCTCCTCTCCCTGTGCTCCATCAGAGCGGCGATCACTGTGTGTGGGTGTCATTGCGTCACCGAACTGTGGAGCCAGTTCACACCCGGGGCCAGTGGAGACAGCCAGCCACTGGAGAGATGGGCAGGCAGCACTGAAAGGGAACCTCTCTGCCTTCTATGGCCCTCTTTATTTTATGTATTTGGCACGGGGTCTCACTACGCAGCTCAGACTCATAGTGATCCTCCTGTTTTTAGCCTCCTCAGCGCTAGGATTAGAGATATGCGCCACCACACCGAGTCTTGGTGGCTGGCTTTGCGCACCCAGCAGTGGGGGCGGCATGGTATGTGGTACGAGGGATCAAATCCAGTCCCTGTGCTTGCCTAAGTAAGCAGGCACTTAGTCCGCTGAGCTATCTTGCCCGCCCTGCCCTGTTTATTTTAATACAAACCCAGAAAGTATTTTGTCCTGAAGCCCCTGACTGAGGGGACATGTTGGGGGCCCCCATGGGTGATGGAGAATCAGGCACAAAATGGTTTATCGTCCTGAACCAGCGCCTGAGCCTCCCTGGGAGCATGAACCAAGGTTCTCAGCACATGAAGCCTCCTGAAAATGGCAGGGAGCTGCTTGGAAGCAGAGTCCCAATCACTCAGAGGCTGGGCCAGAGTGGAGCCTGGGCAGAGGGGTGGCAGCTACTGCCCTGAGAAGTGGCAGGCTTTGTAAAGCCTCAGTCACCCCATCTGCTGAAGCCTGAGGTCTCCAACTGCCCCAGAAGAGCTGCGTACACAGATTATTCCAAAGCTGCTCTTAGCGGCGGGCATCTGTGATAGAGTCAGGGTCTCCTGGGCCGTGTGTTCTGCCCAGCCCGCTGGGCTCTGGACCTTCTCCGTATCTGTCCCTAGAGCACCTGCACGTTTGCTGGAATTGGAAGGACTGGCCTCTGGTGCCGACGATGGCCCTGATCCCAGGGGGTGGGGAGCCTGCTGTCCTGTGCTTCGCTGTCCCCTGAACCTCCTGCTTTGTATTTGAGGCTGTGTGTTATCAGATTAGAGGTGGCGTCCCAGGAGCAGCCTTGGGTTCAGACAGAGCGCTTGTTTCTCTCACACCCAGGCCCTGTTCCTGGTGCTCCTGTGCCTGGGGACCTCTGCCCAGAGACCCAGCAGCCCAACCGCTCCTTCTGGCCTCTCCTTCCATGAGCTGGATTTGTTTTTATTTATTTACTTATATTTTAGAGAAGGGCCTGCAGGGTTTTCAGGGTCTCCCTACTTGATCAGACTCATAGCGATACACCAGTTTACAGCCTCCCAAGAGCTGGGATTACAGGTGCACACCACCACGCCCAGTCTCAATTGCTGTCTCAGCGCCCCGCAGGCCCAGGGTTCGAATCCCGGCCCTTAATCCGCTGCACTAGTTGGCTGGCCCCTAGGCGGAAGCGGAAGTCCTCCTCCCTCAGGAGTCTGGGAATCTGAAACATTGTTTCATAATCTCGCGCTGCGAAGGGGTAGCAGTGTTCCCAGGCAGAGGGCTTTCAGAGCTGTGGGGCAAGGGGCGTGGGCAGGGCACTGCTGAGGGGGTTGTGTGATCTGCACTCTGGGCTGTCAGCTGTATGGGAGGGGATCCAGGCGTTTGTGGAATGGCCAGTGCATGGTGCACACCACCCATCAGGCAGTGCCTCCAGGGCTTACTCAGAACTCCTGCGGCCCCCACTCTGGGTCCCCCTGGCCCAGCACCAGCCCTGGAACCCATGGGG